TATTATTTATTTATTATTATTATTATCATCACCATCATTTCCTATTATTTATTTATTTATTATTATTATCATCATCATTTCCTATTATTTATTATTATTATTATTATCATCACCATCATTTCCTATTATTTATTTATTATTATTATTATCATCACCATCATTTCCTATTATTTATTATTATTATTATTATCATCACCATCATTTCCTATTATTTATTTATTATTATTATTATCATCACCATCATTTCCTATTATTTATTTATTATTATTATTATCATCACCATCATTTCCTATTATTTATTTATTACTATTATTATCATCACCATCATTTCCTATTATTTATTTATTACTATTATTATCATCACCATCATTTCCTATTATTTATTTATTATTATTATTATTATTATTATTATTATTATTATTATTATTATTATTATTATCATCACCATCATTTCCTATTATTTATTTATTTATTATTATTATCATCACCATCATTTCCTATTATTTATTATTATTATTATTATTATCATCACCATCATTTCCTATTATTTATTTATTATTATTATTATCATCACCATCATTTCCTATTATTTATTATTATTATTATTATCATCACCATCATTTCCTATTATTTATTATTATTATTATTACTATCATTAACATTATTATAAACATCATCATCGTTGTATTTATTTATCATAATTATTACTATTATCATCATTTATTATTATTATTATTATTGTTGTTACTATTATTTATTTTATCATTATTATTATCACTATCATTATCATGATTATAAACATCATCGTTACATTTATTTGTTATCATTATCATTATAAATATCATCATTTTAATCATTATTTATTTACTATTATTATTATTATTATTATTATCATTAGCATTGCTATAAATATTATCATCGCCGCTATTATTTATTTATTATTATTATTATTATCATTATTACTACCATTATAAATACTATCATTATCACATTTATTCATTATTATTATTATTATTATTATTAAACTTTATTTTGAAAAGAGACAAGAAAAAAAAGTGAGGAAGAAGCAAAAAAAAAAAAAAAAAAAACCCATAAACAGAATGTCATAGCAGAATGACATTTAAAAAGATAAAATAAAATGTAAGAGCGATCAATGTGACATATTGGAACCAAAAATGGTACAAAATTGACTGATCAAAAAAAAAAAAGCAAAAAAGAGTTAAAAAAATTGTCCAAAAAATTAGATCCATTAACTTTTCTAAATAATTAATTTAGCTAATTCATTTACCAATTCTACATAAAGCAATAAAATATTGTAAATAAAATGTATAAAACTGGTTTTTAAAACATTTATATTTTATTTCAATTTAAAATGATAATAATAAATGCATTCTATTCGTGCATGCAAATTTGCATGCATTGCACTTAACATGCACTAAATTTAGCAGTGATTTTTTTTTTTTTTTTTTACATTTCATTTATTTTCTAATAAAAGTTTGATGATAAATAACAATAATACATTAGAAAAAGAAAAAATGCTTTTTTTTTTTTTTACATTAAGTAAATATGTCAAATAATAAGTAAAATTTTTTACTTTTATGATTGATTTCTCTTTTTTTTTTTCACTTTTAAAAAAAATTTGAAAAAAAAAAGATATTCGAATGAGATGAAATTATCAATTGATATAACTCTCTTTTAACTTATTCTTTAATTTCTTTACCTTTTTTTTTTTCTTCTTGCATTATGGTTTATATAAATAAATATTTAAGTATTTAAGTAACAAACTATATTGAATGTGATTTTTGATTTGATCCAGGAAGAATAATTTTTCTTAAATTTTTATAAAAATTATTTTACACAAAATATTTTCTCATTTTTCTTCTTCCTCATCATTTTTTGTATTGAATCAAACATCATTTTTTTTAGTTTTATACTATGATACTTTATATATTTGTTAAACATTTTAAAAACAAAAAAAACGATAACCAAAATTTAATTATTAAAGAAAAGAAATTCGATAATAATTCCAACCGTATAAATCAAAAATTCGAAATAAATGTATATTTTTTTTTAAATGAGAGCAATTATTTTAGCTACTTACATATACCTTAGATTATACATATATATTTCTTTTCTTTTTTTTTTTTTGATATTTATAATGTGACTGATAATTTTGATAATTTTATAACAATGAAAAAAAAATTTTTTAATGATTAAAATTTTTAAAAAAAAACTAACTTCTTTCTCGTCGTATTCTGATTTAACTACTGTATGCATTATTGGCGGTGTTGGCACTTTTGGATCTTCAATTGTTCCTTCTTTTCGTTTTCGTTGATATTGTCGTCGTTTTGTGGTACTTCCGGTAGCATTTATATTGGTATCAGGTACCGTTATATTATCACCAGTTGATACCGATTGATTAATACCACGAATTTTATCCATATATGAACGAATTTCAGTTGTTGACAAATTGCGCTCATTGTCAGTCATTTAAAGAATT